GCAAAGATTATTTATTTGTACTATTGGTATCTTATTTTAGAAATGCAAAGATTGTAATGACAATCTCTAGTTCTTCCTTCTAAAATTTTTTCACATTTAGTACTTCATATCAACTGGAATTTACTTTTGAGAATGTTATGAGATTATGAGGATGATATAACTTAATTAAATTTTTTTTTCCTATAGAGCTATTACCTGCCCTCCAAGTTGGGTAATCGGTTGTGTCAAGTTTGTATTTGGTTTAAGTTGTTATCAATTTCACTTTCTTCTTTATCTCATGTTTATTTCTTTGAAATTGTACCCAGCAGTAAAGTCTCCACATGTAAACTTGTCATTCAGCTTTGTTTTCCAGGGTACCCCAGCTATGAAAGTGGGTCAGTCTCAGGGCTCTTGACTATCTTAATGCCACGGTCACATTTTCCTAATTATTGTAATTTTATATAATTCTTAACTTGCTCATCTTTAAAAACTCTCTTGGCTATTCTTTGCTCCTTGAGATATCATGGGAACTTTCAGATTATCTTCTTACATTCAATCAAAAGAATGTTCTTGGGCTTTTGATCACCCTTGCGCTGAATTGAAAGATACATTTTGGAGGAGTTGACATAATTTTTAAGAAGGCTTTTGTCATCTAAGAAAATTGCATAGGCCTTCATTTATTTGGGTCATTTTTCATGTCCTTTATAACACTCTTCTTGTAATTATCTCTACAGAAGTTGTTTGTATCTTTAAAAAAATTTGCTCCCAGGTACATTATTTTATTTGCTGCTTTTGTGAATAAATTTTAAAAATCCACTTCCTTTTTTTCTTTAGGCTTGTTAATATTTTGCTGAAGACTTAAAAAAAATATTTATTTATTTTTAATTGCTTGATGATTGGCTTACAATATCACACCTGTATTTAGGAGTGGGACTAGCTTGCAGTGTTCCTGCTTGCAATGCCATTGTAATGTGTTGGTCTCTATTCTCTTGAAGTGTTTTTTTAAGATTCTAATGTTTATCACTCAAAGTTTAGTTTAGTTATTGGACCCACTTATCTTTGCAGTTTATTTGTGGGAAGTCTTTAATGGTGAGTTTTGTTTTTAAGAATAGCTATGGGACTATTCATTTTTTTCTATTTATTTTCATGTCAGTTTTGGTAAGTTTTTTTCAGAATTGGCCCATTTCAAATTTGCCTTCAAATTTGAAAAAATAAATTTGTTTTCAAATTTATTTTTTTAAAAATTGTTCAGCTTAAAAAATATTTTTATTGTTTGTAGCATATGTACTGATATTCTTGTCTGTGTTCTTGATTTTGGTACATTGTCCCTCCCCCCAACCATCTTTTGTTTATTAATATCAGCAATGTTTTACCAACTTTATTATTTATACTTTTTGAAAACTAACATTGGTTAGTTAGTTAGTTAACATTGGTTAGTTAGTTAGTTTCAAACTAGCATATGTTTATCAATATCAGCAATGTTTTACCAACTTTATTATTTATAATTTTTGAAAACTAACATTGGTTAGCTAGTTAGTTAACATTGGTTAGTTAGTTTCAAACTAGATTAATAATTTTAGATTGATAATCATCAGTTTTTAATCAGCTAATAATTGATGAATTATCAATTGATAATTGACAATTATTTTATTATCAATTTTAGATTGATAAACATCTGTTTATCAATATCAGCAATGTTTTAGCAACTTTATTATTTATACTTTTTGAAAACATTGGTTAGTTAGTTAACATTGGTTAGTTAGTTCATTTCAAACTAACATCTGTTCATCTCTTTGTATATTTATTTTTGCTTTATTAAGTTTGGCTTTTACTTTTAATACTTAATTTCTTTTTGTGTGTATGTAACTGGCAATTTCCCCCTGACTTGTGAAGCTGAATTTTATATTATTCATTTTTAGCTTTTCTTCTTTTCTAATACATATATTTAATTATAGACACTTTTTACAGCATGTTTTAGCTTCATTTCACAAGTTTTGACAATAATCATCATTTATTCAATTTTCCAGATCTTACTGAGTTTTCTTATTTGATCAATGGACTTCCTAGTACTGAGTGAAGTCACTCAGTTGTGTCTGATTCTTTGTGAACCCATAGATTATAGCCTGCCAGGCTCCTCAGTCCATGGGATTTTCCAGGCAAGAATACTGGAGTGGGTTGCTATTCCTTCTCCAGGGGATCTTCTCGACCCAGGGATTGAACCCGGGTCTCCTGCACTGTGGGCAGACTCTTTAACAAGAGATTTCTTTATTTTCTCATGTATTAGGGAATCTATTTTATGTTTGAAATGTTTTGAGACTTGCTTGGTTTTTGAGCTTTGTGTGACTACTTTGATATCTGCCATGTTCTTTCTTTCTCTCATTCTTAGACCTTAGTTGCATAGATATCCGCTCATTTTGCTATACTCTCTACTGTCTTTGGTCCTTTGTTCTTCTTCCTTCTCTTTGTCTGAATTTTTCATTTGATATAGCTTCTTCCAACTAATTCTTCCTTTCAAGTGTGTATAACCTTCAAGTAAATTTATTTTGCAATTTTTAAATTTCAGATATTTATTTTTTTAATCTAGAATTCCCTCCAATTCCCACCCCACTCCATTTTTTGTTAGCCATTTAATCTTATCTTTTACTTATTTGAATACACCAAGCTTGCATGCTAAGTCGCTTCAGGCATGTCTGACTGTTTTTGACCCTATGGACTATAACCTGCCAGGTTCCTCTGTCCATGGGATTCTCCAGTAAGAAGACTGGGGTGGACTGCCATGCCCTCCTCCAGGGGATCATCTTGGCCCTGGGATCGAACCCACCTCTCCTGCAGCTCTTGCATTGCAGACGGATTCTTTACCAATGAGCCACCAGGGAAGCCCACACAAAGCTTAGTTGTTTAAAAATCACTGTGGGTAACTCAGTTATCAGTGTGAATTTGTTTCTATGTTCTGTTTTTTCTCTTGGTTTTCTATCATGTTGTTTTATCTGCTCTCCTGTGTTTATGATGAGTGTGAGACATGAATATCAAGAAAATGTAGACCACATTTAAAGTTAAGAAAATGTTCTCTTCAATCAGACAAAATTTATTTTGCATCTGTCCTATATAGCTATAGACACTGGCAATTCTCATTTGTCTCAATCCTATTATAGATTCGATTGAGAAGACTAGAGATGGAATTAAGTCTGTTTCAGTCCACTGGTGCTTCTTCCCTGTTCAATTCAGTTCAGTTGCTCAGTTGTGTCTGACTCGTGACCCCAGGGACTGCAGCATGCCAGGCTTCCATGTCCATCACCAACTCCTGGAGCTTGCTCAAACTCATGTACATCAAGTTGGTGATGCTGTCTAACCATCTCATCCTCTGTCGTTCTCTTCTCCTCCTGCCTTCAATCTTTCCCAGCATTGGGATCTTTTCCAAAGAGTCAGCTCTTCCCATCCGGTGGCCAAAGTATTGGAGTTTCAGCTTCAGCATCAGTCCTTCCAATGAATATTCAGGACTGATTTACTTTAGGATTGACTGGTTTGAAGTTCCTGAAGTCCAAGGGACTCTCAAGAGTCTTCTCCACAGTTCAGAAACATCTATTCTTCGATCCTCAGCTTTCTTTATAGTCCAACTCTCACATCCATGCAAGACTACTGGAAAAACCATAACTTTGACTAGACAGACATTTGTTGCAAAGTCATATGTCTGCTTTTTAATATGCTGTCTAGGTTGGTCATAGCTTTTCTTTCAAGGAGCAGCATCTTTTAATTTCATGACTGTATTCACCATCTGCAGTGATTTTGGAGCTCAAAAAAATAAAGTCTCTCACTGTTTCCATTGTTTCCCCATCTATTTACCAAGTGATGGACAAGATGCCATGATCTTTGTTTCCTGAATTGAGAATTTTAAGCCAACTTTTTCACTCTCCTCTTTCACTTTCATCAAGAGGCTCTTTAGTTCTTCTTTGCTTTCTGCCATAAGGCAAGTAAGATGGTCTGGTATTCCCACCTCTTTAAGAATTTTCCACAGTTTGTTGTGATCCACACAGTCAAAGGCTTTGGCATAGTCAATAAAGCAGAAGTAGATGTTTTCTGGAACTTCCTTGCTTTTTTGATGATCCAGCAGATGTTGGCAATTTGATCTCTGGTTCCTCTGCCTTTTCTAAATCCAGCTTGAACATCTGGAAGTTCATGGTTCATGTACTGTTTAAGCCTGGTTTAAAGAATTTGTTAGCATCTTCTTAATTTGACAGATGCACTAATGCCAAGTTTACCTCTCTGTATTCACTTCTTTTCCAAATCTTAGCCAATAACTTAATTCTTTACTGCTTTGTTTTCTCTCCAGTGCTTTCAAATATATCTATATCACAGTTATCCTTGTTTTTAATTGTTCTTATTGAAAGGATTGGCATGATGGCTAATGTTCTAGCCATCATGGACTTTCCTACCTATTAAATCCTCTCAAGTTTCAATTTCTTTCTTTGTGCACTGTTTTCTGAGTTAATTTCTCACTTCTATCATCAAATTCATGGATTGGTAAAATATGCCCTCATTCCAGCCATCTATTTTTGTAAAAAGGTTTCTATTTGAACCCTGTCATGAGCTTTGTTTATGGCTGTTTTTGCCTTATGCTGGCAAAGTTTAGTAACTTGGTAGAAACCATATTATCCACAAATCCTAAAATTTTTACTATGTGTGACTAAGAAAAAGCGTGACGGTCTCTGCTCTAATTCATTAATTTTTCTCTACTTTTAAAACCCAGTCTCTAGTTTGTTTTTCCTAATGATTTAAAAAAATTAATGATATTTAAATGTCTAAATTATCTATTTTTCATATCTACCCATTAATGTTATATATATTAAAATATATAATATATATGTACATGTATATACATATGTTTGTGTATATAGTTCTTAACACTCCAAATCCAAATAACATGCTTTAATTGGGTCAGTGAATAAAGAATCACTGAAACTAGTATAGCAGAAATCACAATACTGTACTGCCCTCTGAAACTATTAAATTTTTTTTCCTACTAGATACAGAACAATGGCAGTGACAACCCGATTGACATGGAATGAGGAAAGAAGTTTCCAAAAGCTGCTTGGAAATGTTTCTTTGAGACTTCTTTATAAGTCTAGTGTCCATGGAAATGACATTGCAGAAATGCAGAATAGGTGCAGATGTCAAGGATCCACTCTAACAGTGATTTATCATTCCGACAATATTTTTGGTATCTTTATGCTTGGGCATGGTTCTGAAATGTCTAAAAGTTTTATAGAGCCGAATGCATCCTTCTTTTTTTCACTTCAAAAGGATGAAACAATGGAAATGAAATCTGTATTTTTAAATTCAACAGTGACAAGTAATTTTAAGAGCCTGATATTTAATTTCTCTAGTTATGACAATAAGTATTTATCTCTAAATTTCAGCAACAGATGCATTAATATACCTAGATTTTTAAAGGAAAAATTAAGAGCAAAATCTGACTCAGACTCCCCATATTTAGAATGTGAAGTTTTTCGAGTTGAAGGTATGTTAATTTGTACACTACTATGTTCTGATTCTAGTCTTTGTGTTTGGTAGCTCATAATTAATATACAAGAACAAGAAAAAAAAGACAAGTGAATATCATACCACAAATTTTTTAATAACCTCCAAAATGAAAAATGGAAGCATAAAGGTTATGGGGTTATCACCCAGAAAGTATAGGCAGCTTTGATCAAAGTAAGTTGAGAAGTATGAGTGAAGAGATGGAGACGGAGAGAGAAGACTCACTATTTTGACACTGACACCTTTTGAGTCAGCCCTGGGACTCCTAGGCATAATTATGAGTTTGCAGAGTGACTTATACAAAGAAGACACTTTTAGCTCCTCTTAATCTCATTATGCTGCCAACCCTAATTCCTGACCAAACAGCTCAGCTGGGTTATGCAAAAAGACTCAATGCCCTATTTAGAAGTTAGACTTGGTCACATTTAATCAGACAAGCTTAAAAATTGTTATGCCATGTTTATTTCCTTTAGGAATTAAGAATGAGACAGGCTACATAAACAGGATAACAAGAGCCACACAGTAAGTAGTTTCTTGGGCTATCTATCACTCATTTCATTTAGATCAACTGTATAAATGGCACTGACGGTGAGATTAAAAACCATGTTACTTGGAGTGATAAAAATCAGTGGTCCTGACTTAGTGTGTTGAAGACGATTTAGAACAGCAACAAAAACAAAACCACTACCAGCTGGAATTTTTAAGATCCACCTCATGGCAGTTTGACTTCATGTTTCACTATGATCCTATTAGATTCAAAGTTGAGATGACTATTTTAGATAATTCCTCTGAATCCTTGTTTTGAGAATCAAGTTTTCAGAGAACCTCAGAAAATTTAAAAACAAAGTCCCCTCTCACCACTTTATAGATAAACACCTGCATTGCATATATTTTATTTTTGTTTCCCCTTAATGTAACATTGTTACTGAAAATTCACTTTCAGTGTTGATATTATTTCTTATTATACTTATGGGGTCTAAGGCTAATAGTTTAGAAATGATTTGGTTGCTGGTTAGTTTAACTTAGTCAGATATAGATAAGTACATTTTCTTCAAGCACAGAATGTATAACCTTAGACCCTTTCAAGTTATATGAAAGAAAATGCTAATATCAGAATAATAAATAAATGTTAAAACATGCTTTTTAGCAGGAAGAAAAGCTCAGCAGAATTATATTGTTCCTTATGGAAGTTTGGCTGTTGTATTTAACTACTGCAGTTTTCCAGGCACAGAAATAGTCTCCTATTTCTGGACGTCAGAGCCTCCAGTCCCTATGCAGACTTGGTTTCAGAAATCCATATTCTCTTGCTGGGTCCAGTTGGGTCTGGAAAGTCCAGTTTTTTCAATTCAGTGAAGTCCATTTTCCAAGGCCATTTGACTCGCCAAGCCATAGTGTGATCTGATGTCACCAGCATTACTGAACAGGTAAGTTATTTCAGAATTTCTTGAGGATTTTGTTTTATAGGTTACAATTATGAGGTTTGTTAATTTCTTTGGCATTTTCTCTCGATGGCTTAACCTCCTAATCTGTGAACAATTAAATGCTAAATCAAATGTAAAACAGGAATAAAAATGGAATCAGAATTGCCCCCATGAGTTATATTAGACAGAGAAGATTTCCATTTTTATGGATATAAGCAGTTTTAAGAAGAATGCTTTTTGGTATTTGCAAAAATAGTAAAATAAAAAAAATAATAAATAAATAATAAATAAATAAAATATAATAAAAAAACTTTGTAGAAATCTTTGTCCATTTTATTTGATATATATATATATATATTTACTCATGTCCCACATGGTTTTGCCTTGGATTGAAATTATTTTCTCTTTTTTTGTAATAAAATAATGAAAATTATGTATTGCAACACTTTTGCATTATATGAGATCATTTAATAGAAAATGATCATGAGAAGCAAAACCTTCATGGGGTAAATCAGTTTACCAATGCTCCTATAAAGACTGTCTTATTTGTAAATAAATATATTTAAGGAAATAAGTACTAATACCATTTTTAAAACTGTTATGCTAAAGATCTTCAATTTACAGTGCAATATTTATCTAGAAACTTCCATTCTATGCTTGTCAATATTATGTAATCAAACAAAAAGAATAAAGGGAATTAATAGAAAATGTCAAAATCAAGCTGTGTTTTTCTATGATTGCTAAAGTCCAATATTGTTATCTTATGATAGAGAATATGTTGTACATTGTCAATGCAAAATTTAGCATAAGACAGTTATAGCTGATTTTAGTTTTATGTCATATTTAATAACTGAAAGCATTTTCTAAGACTTTTAGGAATCACATCTTATTTCTGGATGTTGGCTGTTCTCTATCCACTTCAGTGGCTTTATTATGATATATGGGCCTAGCCTCAGGAGCAAGATACTGCAACAGCAATTCAGTACATTAAGCATTGATTGAAATGTTTTTGTTTGCTAAATATTGTGTTGTAATAGAGACCTAAATGCAAATAACACTACAGCCCCTTTAATCAGGGAGCTCAGAGACCAATGTAGATAATAATCAAGTAAATACTCTTCAGTGTGAGACATGCTGTAATAGTGGTACTCATCAGGACAGAATTTCTGTCTTCTTTTTATGTTGAAAACTCCAAAGACTTGCTGCTTTAAGGGAAGATGTATTAGATCCTGAACTCCAAATAGAATGCAAATACTATATACATTAAAGGAAAACAGGACAGCGTATTTGTGAAGGAAATGGAATACTTTATTGCTCAGAGACCCTTCTTTCTGAAGAATTGAAGCTGTAAACGAAACAGGTTAATGGTTATTGGAAATATGAATGTTGCCTATTGATCTTGAAATTTTACAGTGTATTGAATATTATCTAACTCTAATGCTCCATGTAATTTCTTTCATGTTGAGGTACCAATAAACCCCATTCACTTAGATGAAAATCTCCAGTAGAATTGCTCTAGGCATTTTTATGAAGCCATGGGTGCTTTGACTCCATCACAAATGACAATAGGTTACAGAGGAATTCTCTACTTCCTGGTTTGGGCTGAAAGAACTGAGTATCGTCTGGTGTCTCTGAGAAGCCCTTTTCTTTGTGATTCTTCCCAAATCTTCCATAGTTGAGTCTATGTTGAAGGTGTATTTGACCAATAAATGAAATTTTTTCAGAGTTATCCTAAAAAAATAGTCTTGGGATCAGATGGAGTGTGTCTAGAAAAGAAGCTTTGTTAAAGTGAAAGTTCCTCAGTTGTTTCTGACTCTTTGTGACCCCATGGACTGTCCATGGGATTCTCCAGGCCAGAATACTGGAGTAGGTAGTCTTTTCCTTTTCCAAGGGATCTTCCCAACCCAGGGATTGAACGCAGGTCTCCTGCATTGCAGGCAGATTCTTTACTAGCTGAGCTACCAGGAAAGCCCCTTTGTTAAACTAGTGCTTCTTAAAGTGAGGTGTGTTGATCCCATGACAGTCTTTGAAATGCTTTTAAGGGATCTATGAGCTGGAGAATCCCAGGGACGGCAGAGCCTGGTGGGCTGCTGTCTATGGGGTTGCACAGAGTCAGACACGACTGAAGCAACTTAGCAGCAGCAGCATGAGCTGAAGACTCTTTTAAAAATACTAATATATTTTTTTGCTGTTTCTAGTGTATTAACACTTGAACTGATCAAACAAATATAATTTTATCTGTTGGCATCTTAGCATGAATCAAGCAATGGCAGCAAACCCTCCACAGTCACTGTAATCATCCCTACCACTGAGCTTGCTATAAAAAAAAACCAAAACACCAGTTTCATTTAAGAATTTTCTTGATGAATCTGTAACAGTTATTGATTTTATTTAAGCTCAACTTTTGAATGCACATCATTTTAAAATGTGTGACAAAATGGGACGTGCATATAAAGTGCTCCTGAAAGTGAAAGTGAAAGTGTTAGTTGCTCAGTTGTATCCCACTCTTTGTGACCCCATAGACTAGAGCCCGCTGGGTTCCTCTGTCCATTGGATTCTTCAGGCAAGAATGCTGGAGTGGGTTGCCATGACCTCCTCCAGAGGATCTTCCCGACCCAGGGATCAAACCCAGGTCTCCTGCACTGCAGGCAGATTCTGCATGCAAAGTGCTCCTAATGCATGTCAAAATATAGTGGTTGTAAGCTGAAATTTTCTCATGGAACATCATATATGATTGAAAAGACAACTGAAAGACTTCCTTATTTATACTTGGATATTTGGTAGACATTTTGGGGAAAAATGCATGAAATGAGGGTATCACTTCAAGGATAACAACCCATAGTGTTTGTTGTCAAAGATAACATTTGAGCTTTTAAGAAAAAGAACATGAGGAAGTTTGTATCCACTACTTTGAGCTTGAAAACTTAAGAACTTAAAGACTTATCTAATGAGATTAATGATGGCATTAACAAATATGATATTTTAATATTGTAAAATGAAATGTGCCAATATTTGGAAGATCCAGATAAGCCAGTGAACCAATACTTTCAAATGACCAATGCATCAGGTTACAAAATCATGGATGGATTAAAAAGTATATTCAAAGTGTAAAATAGATCAACAAACTTAATGTCATAGTTTGAAAGCATCACAGATTTCACATTGCAGGTAATCTTTATGGAATTATCACTTGTTCAGCTTTGATGTACTATTAATGAGCAATGTCCATAATTCTCTAAAAGCTGTTAAGTTAAATACTCCCTCCTTGCCTACTACCTGTATGTGTGAGGTCAGATTTTTTCATATACTTCAACCAAAACAATATATCACAACAGATTGAATGCAGAGGCAACTATGAGAATCTTGCTGTTTTCTATTGATTCAGACATTAAAGAGAATTGCAAAAGGCAAATCAATCCCACTCTTTTCTATAATTTTTTGAAAATAGTTTTTTTCTAAAATTGTTAGATTAATATATAACAGGTTCATATTATATTTTTAAATAATTTAAGAAATATTAAAAATTTTTGTTCTAATTTCTAATATGTTGCACATAAATAGACAAGACCCACATGAGTAAAATATCTTTGGGATCCCTCAATAATTTTTAAGAAACTTAGTTGATCTTGAAACCAAAATGTTTGAGGACCACAGTAAAAGTATTAATGAGTTCTTCTTCTTATTATTACATCTTAAAGGCTAGTTGAAGAGTGAACTTTTATATTGCTGTGTTTTGTTTTACAGTATAGGATATATTCTATTAAAGATGGAAAAAATGGCCAATCTCTGCCATTTAGGTTGTGTGACTCCATGGGGCTGGATGAGAATGAGGGAGTAGGCTTATGTGTGGATGACATACCCCACATCTTAAAAGGGTGTGTGCCAGACAGATATAAGGTAAGAATCCTTCAGAGTGTAGAACATTTCAAATCATTTTCAGCAATGCTTTTCATTGATGTTTTATCACATGCATTTTAAATTTTTATAAAGTGGTTTCAACACCAACCAACATTACTGTATTTTAAATTAAAAAATATTTATGTAAAGAAAGCAGATAACTTCTCTTATTTTCTACAGCATTAAGAAATATAACCAAAAGGCAAGATTTTACTCATATAGCTTCCAGGAAAAGGTCAGGAGGAACTGTGTTTATATTACTCTTTGCAATGATTCTAAATAATAGGAAAGGAGTAATATAATCTCTTGCACTTTTATAATCACTTAGACAAAATATTGAAACAACTACTCTTTGTTGATATGTGATGTTATACTGAAGGTGAGCAGGCTTCACTACTTAATACAGCCTAAATACCTGATTTCAAAGGCTGGCTCTGCCACCAATTAGATGTGTACCCATAAGTAAGTTACATGCTTGTCTCTGTGAGTTTTGGTTTTTTTATGTGTGAAATGTAGATAATAATAATGCTGATCTCATAGGTGGCTAAGTAGATTAAATGAAAAGATAAACTCTAAGTTCTCAGAAAGTTAACCATTATTGTCACCTTTCTTTCAGATATTGGGTGCAATAAAATTAGCCTCAATTTCTAAGCAGTGATTTCCTTTTCCTCAATTGTGCTTTGAGATTTGAAGAGACTGAGATTTGAAATTGCTTTTTAAAATCACAAATAACATTGTACTTTTCTGAAATATTTCCATTAATAATTAATTAAGTTGTAATTACAATTTTTTTTTTTGCCAAAGCAATGAAGTTGGTTGTATTTTTTTTTTATATAATGATACCATGCTAATAGTGGAGAGGAAGTATGAGAGAATGCTATGAACTAATCTGGGGCAGGAGTATCTGGGAGAAGGGAAGTTTTGTGTTGGAGGTTAGTGGAGATCATGCTTGAAACATGAATTGTATCTGAAAGAATTCATCAGAGACTCTCTAATGTTACCTTATATTTCTATAACAGTTTAGTCCCCATAAACCAATTACACCCAAGCATCCTACTTCCATCACCTCTCCATCACTGAAAGACAGGATTCACTGTGTAGCTTTTGTCTTTGATATCAACTCTATGGACAATCTCTCCTATAAAATGATGGCAAAGTTCAAGCAAATTCAAAAAGAAGTAATAAACTGCGGTGAGTTTCATTGTATTCATCAAAACATTTTTACTTTAAAATAAAGATACATTCACAGAAAATTGCAAAAAGAATACACCAAGGTCCCATGTCCCCTTCTTCCAATTTTTAGAGTCCCGGTTTGGTTGGTGGCAATAGCAGATAGAGATCATTCAAAGGCTTTACTGAAATCCTTAAAGACTAGAATGGCTATAATTTTTTCATCATGTGTGATTTTCCTATGGCTAGACAGAGGAGTTACCTCCTCATATTAGGTGACTAGACCAGAAAGATTAAAACCAGGAGATACAACACTCATAATGTGTGTTATAGCTCTGTTATTTTGTTACATGTGTAGATTCGAGTAACTACCACTACATACAGAACTATTCCATCGCCATAAAAGTTTCTGTCATGGTGCCTTCCAATCCTCACCATCCTTAATTTTTGACAGCGATTAATCTTCTCTTCATCTCCATAAATTTTGAGAATGTTATACAACTAGAATCTCAACAGTATGTCTGATTTGAGGCTGGCTTTCTTCACTCAGTCTAATATCCTTTGAATTCCATAAAAGTTGTTATGTATATCAGTTGTTCATTTCTGTTTATTGCTGAGTAGTAATTCATGGTATAGATATTCCATAGTTGTTTTAACCATTCTTTATCAAAGGACTTTTTGATTACTTCTGTTTTTTGGCTCTTGCACATAAAGCTCCTTTGAATATTAGTGTGCAGGTTTTTGTGTGGGTGTAAGTTTTATTTCTTCTGGGATCATTCCCCCAAAGTGTGATTGCTGGGTCCTATGCTAAGTCTGTGTTTAATTTTTTCAAGAAAACGCCAAACCTCTATTAAGGATTACTGCACATTTTATAATTTTACAATATATGAGAGATCTAGATTCTCTGGATGCTTGCTAGTATTTGTCATTATTGCTTTTTTTAAAAAAAATTTAACTCTTCTAGTAGGTATATAGTGATAGTTTGCCATGGTCTTAATTTGCATTGCCCTAATGGTGGCTCACGCAAAGAGCTGACTCATTGGAAAAGACCCTGATGCTGGGAGGGATTGGGGGCAGGAGGAGAAGGGGTCGACAGAGGATGAGATGGATGGACGGCACCACCGACTCGATGGGCATGAGTTTGAGTAAACTCCGGGAGTTGGTGATGGACAGGGAGGCCTGACGTGCTGCGGTTCATGGGGTTGCAAAGAGTCGGACACGACTGAGCAACTGAACTGAACTGAACTGAACTGAATGATGGTTCAGCTGGTAAAGAGTCTGCTGCAATGCAGGAGACCTGGGTTCAATCCCTGGGTCAGGAAGATCCCCTGGAGAAGGAAAGAGCAACCCACTCCAGTATTCTTGCCTGGAAAATCCCGTGGATGGAGGAGCCTGGCCGGCTACAGTCCAGGGGGTCGCAAAGAGCTGGACACGGCTGAGCTACTTCACTTCAGTGATGAATTAAATTGACCATCTTTTAATGTGCTTATTTACTTGTATATGCCTTCTTCAGTAAAGGATCTCTTCATGTCTTTTCATGTCTTTGACCTATTTTCTATTTGTACACTTTGGTTTTTTTTTTTCACTGTTGAGTTTTAAAAGATCCATAAATCCTAGATATGATTCAGTCGTCAGATATATGGTTTGCAGATAGTTTCTCCCAGTGCTCAGTTGCCTTTTCAGTATCTTAGCAGAGCCTTTCACAAACACATTATTAAAAATTTTGGTGAACTCCTATTTGTCAATTTTTTCTTTTAAGGATCATTCTTTTCATTTTGTGTCTAAAATCCTTCACCAAGCTTTAAGTCTCGGTTTTTTTTCTGTTTTCTTCTAAAAGTTTTATAGTCTTACATTTTACATTTAAATATGTAATTAGTTTTGAGTCACTTTTTGTGTAGGATGTGAAATGTAGGTCAAGGTTTATTTTATTTTTGCATATGGATATTCAGTTGCTTCAGGACCATTTGTTGAAAAAACTGTCATTTCTTAATTTTATTGCTTTTGTACCATTCTTTTTAACTTGTATGTGTTTTATTTATTTTTACTTATCTTACCATCCTGGCTAGTATTTTCAGTTGAATAGTGATGAGAACAAATACCCTTGTTTTCTTTAGGAACTTAGGAGAAGAGAGTCAATGTTTCACCATTTTAATGTCAATTAATGTCATTATAGTTTTTAATAGCTGTTCTTTATTAAGTTGAAGAAGTTCTTCTCTATTCCAACTTCTCTGATAATTTTTTTTTAAAGCATGAATGGCTATTGAATTTTGCCAAATGGTTTTTCTCTATAGATTGATATGATCATGGGAATTGTTTCCTTCTGTAGTCTGTTTATATCATGGATCATATTGACTGACTTTGAATCTTGAGCCAGCCTTGTCTCCATAACACAAAACTCATGTGTTCATGGTACATAATTCCTTCTATATATTGCTAAATCCTAGTTGATAATATTTTATTAAGAAATTTGGCATCTATATTTATGAGGGATATTGGTCTGTAGTTTTGTTTGTTTTTTTAATTTCTGTAGTGTTTGTCAGAATTTAATCTCAGGTAATATAGGTGTTATAAAATGAGTTGGGAAGTACTCTTTCCTCTTTCATTTTCTGGAACGGATTGTGTAGAGTTTTTTTTTTTTTTTTTAAATGTTTGGTAGAATTCTCCAATAAAACCATCTGGCTCTGGAGATTTCTTTTTCAGGGATTTTTAAAACCATAAGTTCAATTTAAAAATAGTTTTAGAGCTATTAAAATGATCTATTTCATATTAGATGAGCTGTAGTGTAGTTTGTAGTGTATAATTTCATTCTATTTCACCTAAGTTGTCAAATTTATGCATGTAGACTTGTTCATAGTATCTTCTCATTCTTTTTATGTCCTTGGGGTCTGTAGAGATATCCCTCTGTCCTTCTTGGGGAAATAGCTGTTAGTAAAGTAGATCTTTGATTCAGTTACAGCCAGTTATTATTTACTTTGATCTCTATAGTTTTAGGGAAAAGGCAAGGTCCTTAGTAGAAATGTGAAATCAGTGTACTTCACATTCACAAATGCTCTCACACAACTCTCCTTGCTTTCTCTCTTTCTTGGGGTTCTTTAGTCTTCAAGATCCAGCAACCACTTTCCCCCCCTGACCAATTTAAAACACACTGTTTGAATGGGATAGTAGCTGATTACAACTTAGTATAATTTTAATTCCATTTAGAAATAGTCTCTCATGTTGGAAGAAATAATTTCTCCCATTAGAAGAACTTCATGTCCCATATTGAGATTTCTTGGGGATATTGCATTCTCCTGATCTTAAATTTACCTTACAGAGTACTATTTTCACACATATTTACTTACCTTGTTGATACAGTGCTGTTTATGATATAAAATAACTGATTTATCTACTTGATACAGGTGTAGCACAAGTAGCATTACTTACTAAAGTGAAAAATTGCAATGAAGTTCTTCAAGACAACTTCTTAAAGATGAATAAGGCTATGATTTCTCAAAGCCAGGTAAAGAATACTTTTCGCAACTAAATAGAATTGTAATAGTTTTATATTTTGTGTGTGTGTGTGCATGCTCACACTGCATATTCACAGGTAAATGAAGAAATGGATCAATTGGCTGGTTGATTGAAGTTAATACCCTACTTTAAAATAATAATCCGAATTATAATTATATTCAGAAAATAATATTAAGCCATTGTGTTTATTGTTTCTTTCTTAAATTATATTTAAATTCAGTCAAATTTTAGATATGACTTACATTTATTAAATTCTTTTTTCCACAGATACAGAATGTCAACAGGAGACTAGGCATTCCTCTTTCTAGAATACTAGTGGTTGAAAATTATGCTTCAGAGAGGGAGATGGGCCCTTTAAAGGACATTCTGATCCTCTCTGCACTGAAGCAGATGTTCCGGGCTGCAGATGACTTCTTAGAGGATTTGCCTCTTGAGTAAACAGGTGATCTGGTCCCATCCTCCTCCTATCACAAAGGTTTTGGAAAAACGCTATGCTATTTCTCAGTTGGATGGTTGGTACCCAACTGCCTGCGGTAGTCCTGACAGCCATGTAGCAATATTTCTTTGTTCTTACTCTTTTTATGTTTTGTTTCCAGATGCAACTGCAGGAATGTTCCAGCTCTGCCTCAATTGACTTGATTCAGACACTTGGCCCAAGCTGGAGTTGCCAACAGCCTCTGTGAGATTCTGCTTCTACTTGTGTTTTACTTTCTGTCCCTGACAACATCTAGCTGATGGTTCCTTCTAAGATCAGTCATACCTCAAGTACAATGGCCAATCTTGAGCAGTAGTGGGCCAACATATGTCCTATTGCAAACCACCTTTCGTATTTATGCACTATTTACAAATTAATTTCTATGACACCTTGAATATATCCTCAGCAAAGTTAACTGTTCCCTTACTTACTCGTCTTAATTGTTTCAACACTTAATTTAAAACTCAGTGTCAGTACTAGCCCCACTGAGTATAAAATGGTTAGAGATATCTGCTTCTCTAAATAGTGAGCTTTTCAAGAAGCAGGGTTTGGATTTTGCTTATCTTTGTATTCACAGAAATTCACACACTGCCTGGAAGGGTGCAAGCGTACCTGCTATTAAGCATATCTCCCGATCTCCCCAGTGTGATAACATGTATTTAAAATTTTTTCCTTATGAAAAGGAAGACTGTGAGAGAATGAAATGCTGGAGAGAAATAAAGGAAGGAGAACGTATCACTTAACTCTGGATGAAAATATGAATTTAAGTTAATTAAAAGAAACAAGTGTTCCCAAGAGATTAACATTTCATTTCTGCGAGAAAAAACAAACATTTTTCCTCTAATGAACCCATGCCTGATTTTCACTGATGGAATTCCAAGTCACCCTAGCCATATTTCCAAAGTAGAGTGATCAAATAAGGTTACTAGTGCAAGTTAATAATAAGGTTCTTATACAAGTACTCCCAAATGATTCTAAAGTTCACTGAATAGCTGAAGAAATTAGAACTATTAATAAAGAAAGAAGAAGAATCAGGTTTTCTCTCTTTTTACTTAACTCCTTTCAAATTTTTGTCTTTTTCAAATGAATATGCTTTGGATCAATAGTTCTTTATATTATACAATCTAACTTAGAATTATTATCTTTTGGGGGAAGCCCTGGGTATTACAAGGGCAAGAATTGCTTTGAGATAATTATGGGAAAAGGAATATTTCCAAAAGCAAAGCTACAGGTGAAGCCATATTCTAATGAATGTCCAGAAGCCATAATTCAATGGAAGGGATGGATAGGTTCTTTAGAAAATATTTGGGAATAGAATGGTCATAAGTATTGAGGAGTAGAGCCCAAAGTAGGTGTTGGGAACAAAATTAGAGTGGCAGACAGGATAGTTATGACATGAATGTAAGAGACAACAGGTCTGGAAAGTAAGGTATGCTTGCCTCCATGTATTCTAGGGAGCAAAACGGCCGTGGCTATTGTTGGCTGGAAAAGACTGAAAGTGACTCAAGATGCACCATTCATTTCACCAACTGTAGGGCCATCCTTCATCCTTCTCCAGAGTGGAGTCAGCAAAAATCTGGGCAGAGGAAAGTTTTTTTAGATGTAAGATTAAATTCAAAGTGGAACTTTATTTGAAAGGGTAGCATGGAATACTGTTATGAGGGAGAAGGAGATGCTGAAAAAGAAGGGAAGTAATGGAATCATGAACAGACTTAAGCAATGAGGGACTGTCTAGGTGAGCCAACATTGTCTGTAAATACTGAGGTTTATTCTTTTTTTCTATAAAGGACAATGTTAGATAATTGATGTCACAATTCTGAATCCTCTGACTTTACACCACTTTGGGCACATTTAAACCTCCAATGGAGCTAAATGTTTATTTGGAGTTTAGGCTGGAAAAGATTGGTGATGGCAGGGAGCTTCAAAAAGGGATAAACTTCTCTTTTGTCTGAGAGAGGACTTGCCCTGACATTGTAGATTCTGCTGATCTTTCTCTACCATCCTGAGACAGCAGGACCCACCATTTTGCTGCATTTTAGAAGCCATTCAGGATTTTTTCAACTTTACATAATTTGCAATTCATCTAGTTGTATAGTCCAGCCAAAATTGCTAAAATACTTCTTAGCAAAATAGTGCTAAGGGGCACAGTACATAAAACAAGGGGAAATATAAGGTAGAATATTGTCTTAAAGTCAGAGGGATGTTGGTGAGACAGTTTAAGTATCAGTGCTAGAACCTTTGTGTGGTAGGTGGGGTAGGTGAATGAGTGGGTTGGGTTGTGGCATTAAAACATGCCACAACATGTTTCTTAATCTACATGTCCATCAACAAATGGATGGATAAAGAAATGGAATATTATTCAACCATAAAAGAAGAAAATTCTGCCATTTTAGACAAAATGGATGGACCGGAATATTATGCTAAAAGAAATTAGTCATATAGGGGAGACAAATACTGCATAACATTACTTAAATGTTAATGAAATGGTGATGGCCGAGGGCTGAGCGGGAGGGAAATGAGATGTTGGTTAAAGGATACAAAATTTCAGTTGTTGCTTAGAGAGTAGTTATTAAATATTTTCTCCACATATACAAGATGGTAATGATTTGAGATGAGATGATGGGTATGTTAATTAACCATATTGTGGTAATCATTTCATAATATACATTTATTAAATCATCATGTTGAAAATCTTAAACTTACATAATGTTTTATATCAGTTATATCTTAATGAAATTTGAAAAAAAAGTAAAAATAAAAGTAATTATTTCTGACAGAAATTTGTAGCATTGTACAAATTCATCCAGCATCCATCTTAATAAGAGGGGTAGTTATGGTGGGTGATGTGCAAGCCTTTGTCTTCTTTAGAAAACTAATCTTAAAAGATTATCATGTTGCTCCTTCATAAAAAAGGGAAGCTAATAATTAATTTGACAAAACTGATTGGGGAACTCAAGTAAGCCTCAGATGATTCAAATACCAGCTGATGATTAATCATCTTGTAGGGACATAACTCCATCTGATGCTAAAGTGGCCACTTGATAACAAGGCTGATCAAAATCTTTGTGTTAGTTGCTCAGTTGAGTCTGACTCTGAGCCTCATGAACTATTAGCCCACCAGGCCCCTTTGTCCATGGAGTTCTCCAGGCAAGAATACTGGAGTGGGTAGCCATTCCCTTCTCCAGTGGATCTTCCTGACCAGGGGTCAAACCTGTGTCTCCTGCATTGCAGCAGATTCTTCACCTTCTGAGCCACAAGGGAAGGTTGATCAAAGTCTTAAGGCATTCCATAAAGCTGTGAGAATTTGGATGTCCCCAAATCCCATCCTTAATGTGATGAATGTCTGGGCTAATTTATGGAGGAGAGTAGATTAAATACATCTGATTTTTGCCCTCAATCTAAGCAAGATGGAATCAAGCCTACCAAACCATTGCAAAAGTTTTCTCTGGTGCTGGAGAAAATGCAGGACGCTGGGGTCAGTCAGAAAATAGTTAGGCTAATAGTCAATATCTAGCTGCACACCCCTCACATGAATAGATTCAAGCTATTCCAGGCCCCAGGGAAGAAATTTTGGTGTAAGCAGAACTGCAAGTACAGATGGCAGGAACTCACAAGAGGCATGGAAAAGACCAGCAAGCTGAGCTCAACAGAGGTGGGTAAATCATTTTAATTTTTTTAAACAATTTATTTCTTTGGAATATTTCATGAGAATGCCAGTCTGATATTAATAAAAAATGCAAATAAAATTGCACATAGTTAAGTTTTTGAGCACATTTGTGTTTTATTTTGGTGTTATGTTATAGAAGCAATTCAAATGTGAATGGATCACTATAATTTCAATAAGCTTACTATTGATAAGATAAAAATACAGATATGTTATTCTGAGTGTATCAGACCTTGTTCCGCTGGATAGGCAATCAGTGTTTCTATTCTCAGTGTAGATTTATAGAGGGAGAATTGTCAAGTCCCCATGGCTGAAGAGTCCAGGGAGAAAAAATAGCTCATCTACATAGTAGGGCTTCAGATATTTCAAATGGGTTGCACATGCAGCTAGAATAACCTCTTAAAATAACTATATATATATATATATATATATATATATATATATATATAGTTATTTGTATTTTCCTGTGTATATTTCATCCCTTATTTCCCAGAGTCATCCCCATTGTCTTCTTAAGAATTAAGATTATTTAGAACAGGGGTTAAAAAAAAACCCTCAAACAAACCTGAAACGGTGATCTGAGTTTTTTAAACTTCCATATAGACTCTTGCGAGTGCAGGCCATGAAAGGATCTGAACACAGAATTTATGGAATTGCTATGTACTAAAAAGGTAATATAAGGACTCAGTTCTGTAGAAAGTACAAGGTAGTCACTGATCCTGGGAAGAAAGAGGGAAGAGACATTGGCCATAACACTGATGGAAAAATCAAGAGAAACAGAATCGAAGAGACCCAGAGGAAGGGTGTCATTAGTAAAGGGGGAAATTCTCAGTACCATGTGAAAGTTAAGATACTGATTAGAAGCCAGGGCAATGTGCCCAAAGTCTTCATTCCTATTTGAAGAAGTCCCACACCTTACAGAAGAAACTATGTGACAATCTTGTCAATGTGGCCTGTGAGCCTTTCATTAAGTTCATTATTAAATGGCTTGATTATAATAATCTAACCTAGAGATAATCTAATCATCTGTAGATTATCCAATAGAAGGACACATTTCTGTTCTAAAATGTGAAGCTGAGACTCAGGCTGTCTGAGGCTGTCTGAATGGTTGGAACATATCTTTTTATAAAGACCTGAGACACTCAAAATACCCCAAATATATAGGGTTGATCCTTGTCGCTAAAAGGACCAGCGGGAGTATGCAAGGGGTGGGGTGAAGAGGACACAAACACAAGCTTTTGGGTAGGATCTATCCCAACTCTGAGCTCATATTCAGCATGTATTAATAAGTTTTTTTAA